TTTTTTTTTAGGAGAGAATATGGCAATTTATGGAAAAGCCTCCCAGTCAACAGTTTATCCAGGAGCCATTGCCAACAATGCTATTGATGGGAACCGTGAAGCTCGCTTTGACCTCGGTTCCTGCAGTGCCACAAATAATGACTTTAATCCCTGGTGGAGACTGGACCTGGGGAAAACCCATAAAGTGTTCTCTATTAGCATAACCAACCGGTTAGAAGTTCACACTCGAATTAATGGAGCTGAAATTCGTATTGGAGATTCACTTGACAACAATGGAAATAACAATCCCAGGTAGGTTTCAGTCTTCTTTGAAAAAAATAAGTAAAATATTTTGTAGTAAATCTTACTTACTTCTCATATTTTGCCATTTTTTGTTAAAATGAAAAAAAAAAACCTTTTCCACTGACAGATGTGCTGTGATCTCTACCATCTCTCCTGGTTTTACTGAAACCTTTCAGTGCAACGGCATGGATGGTCGATTCATCAACATTGTCATACCTGGACGAAATGAGTTTCTCACTCTGTGTGAGGTGGAGGTGTATGCATCTAGACTAGATTAAAAACAAATGTTAGATGAAAGGTGTATTATTTTTATAGATATAAGTCTGCACAACCTAAATTACAAGGTTAGTGTCTGATGAAAGTAATTAAAGCTTTAACAAAATGGCCTACAAGAGGGCAGGAAAAGTCTCTCAATCAACTGAGTGTTCTTTTTCAGTTTTTTTAAAAGGTGGGTACAGCTGGAGAAAAAAATGGAATTTATTAAAATAAGCAGGAAGTTTGATGTTTTTAGTAAAATAAGTTGCAAAGATTTGTCTGTGTGATCACTTGTGAGCTTCTATATGTTTGGTGAACATTTAAAATGGTAGCTACAAATGAATTTGTATTTTAGTCTTAGCTTGTTTTAGTTAACAGTGTTTTTTATACTTGAAATAATAAATTGCATACTACTTAAAAGCTCAAAAAAATCTGTTGTATTTTTTGTGAAGAACAGGCTTTATTTTTACAAAATTAATTACCTTTATTCCCCGTAGATTTTATAATTAAGTTAGATTCAATTTAATAATAATTTACTTATCCTCGATGAGAAATTTAATTTAGTAGTGCATGTTCAAGAACACAAAGACACGAAAGACAAAGCATAGAATATATACATGGGGGTACTTGGCATCCGAGGCCTTGCAGATTGAAATACGTGAGGGGAGGAAAAAACTAATGTTTAAAGATGTAGGGAAATCATATTTAAATGTCAAATCATTCTGGCCAAAACATGTATATAAATGTACTCTTTATCAGACAATATTGTCCCAAAATTTAGAAAATTACTATAAAAAAAAAAAAATCCTGTCTTACAATTTGTGTTTTATGTTTTGTTATCTTATGCAGGCCAGTTAGTTATACGTCAGCCATTACACCTAAATTCGGCCAATCACATATCAACGGTCATCTGTCAATTTTTTTTGGTCATAGCATCTTGATTCATATGTTGCAGCTAATATATGCAACGGTTGAAATAAGAAATAAGAATCATTTACTTTACCATTGAGTTCCGTCCCAGTGTTCACGGGGATGGACGTCTGTGTCTTCAGCAGGCGTAGATCTAACAGAACTGGCAGCATTGCGAGGCAAGGGCTCAAACATGTACTGCTGTAAGCCTTCTACACC